CAAAATTCAATTTTAAAGTACTCATCTGAAGCGTCTCGTCGCGTTCTTTCGTTTGCCGCGTCGTGCGTTTCGCTGCGCCTATTGGATCTCGAGTTATCGGCTGGGGGCGTTTAACCCCCCCCCCCCCCAGCAAACTGTGGGTGGCGAAATACCCCAGCAACTGCCGGGATAGAACCAGTAAAACGCCCTTTGAGGCGACACACAGAGTGAGCGAGATGGTGGGCCTTGCACGTGATACATTGCGAGGGGGTACCTCCAACTAATTTGTGCACTGCACCCTACTAACCGGTCCCTAGTGATGTGCCACATTTGAGGGCAATCGGCCTAACCGTTCTCGAGATCTGAAAGCGGAACCCTGCACGTGCGCACGTGCAAAATGGGTCCCAACTGACTTTTGCACGGCACCCTACTAACCGATCCCTAACCATGTACCCAATTTCAGCACAATCGGTTCAGCCGTTCTCGAGATCTGGAATCGACCCCTGCACGTGCGCACGTGCAGCAGCACCCCAACTGTGGCACATGGATATTGGATATGCATTGCCTAGTGGGTGTCTACCTACTTGCCAACTTTCAGCGCAATCGGCCTAGTAGTTACCGAGCAATTGAAATTTTTACAAAACTGACACCTCTTCGTTTTGCACGTGGCAGTGGTGCAAGTTTCTACAGTATCGGCCTTGCACCGTAGTTGCCGAAGAATGGACTGAGACTGTTTGCCTGAAACGTGTTGTTAGACTACCAAGACAATATTCGTTGCATACAATGTCATTCAAAGGTCAAGGTCAAGGTCAGGTCAGTTCAGGTCAGGTTACCAAAAACAAAATATAGAAAAGGGCATGTGCGACACATGTTTTATGGGTCATTTCATTCATAAAATTCAATAGGCAAACTCAATAGGTGACAAGGACCACCTCTGGATGAATTTCAGGTCGAGGTCAGGTCAAGGTCAGGTCAAGTGAGGTCAATTTTTGAAGTTGGTTGTTAAGGTCTAAAAAGGGTTCTATCTGATGCAGTTTTTCACGGCGAATCGAATGGTGCTATTTTTGTTTCCGTAGGAGGCCTAACACTTCCAAAAATTCATTTTTCAAAATGCTTGTGTGTCGTGACGTCATTAAATTTTGAATAACTCCCACATTTTTGAACTGATTCTTCTAAAAATTGGTGTGTAGGTGCACATAGACCACTTCTCTGACATATATTCTGGTTTTTTCGATACACTCAAAATTTTGGATTTTACAATTATTTTCCCAAAAAAGTCAGTTTCTTGAGAAAATTTGGGCCAAAATCCAAAATTTTCAAAAACCGAGATAGCCATTTTATAGACAAAGCAGAATCACGTATAACCTTTTTTTGTTACGTCTTGATTCCTTTTAACCCGCGCCCTGGTGGGGTCTGTTTATAACGCGACCTGGTGGGGGGGGGGCTATTTTTTGCCCCCCTCGTCTCTCCGAAACTACTGGACGGATCCGCAAAATTCAAACGGCGTTCGATAGCCCTGTCAAATTTGTCGAAGGAAACCAAATTTTATTGACCTCGGGGTCACCGATGACGTCACAGGTCAGGTCAAAGATAAAATGTTTCACCGTTCACGGGGCTTCTAGGGAAAGCGCTATAACACCGAGTAAAACGCATTTTGTCGAGAATCAGCGATAGGGCGTCAGTTGTCTAGTACATATGTTGCTATTAGAGGTCACTGGTCATACCAGGTCAGGTCACAGGTCAGGTCACCACACCAAAGGTCACCAAGGGTCACCACATGAACCCAACTTTACTAAGGTTGTGCGATGCATGTTTTATGGCCAGTTTTTCATTTCCAACCCGATGTTGGTTATAAGACCATCAGGTACGGTTTAGGTCACTTTCTGGTGGAGGTCAGGTCAAGGTCAGGTCAAAAAAGGTCAAATTTCAAAGTTGATATTTTTGCATAAAATGGGTATTGATTCGATGCAGCTCGTCACGGGGAGTCTAATGGTGGTCTTTGTTTTGCACTACGAGGTCTAGAATTGCTAAAAATTGAGTTTGAAAATTTGACGTCATCAATTTTGAACAGTTTTTTCGCTATAACTTCGCCAAAAAAAGAGGTATCAATCTAAAATTTGGTATGTGGATGGAAGGCGGTAAGGACTATCACATATATTCCGGTTTTTGCGAAATTCAAAAAACTTTTTGGATTTTTTGACTATTATATCCCAAAAATCTATTTTCTGATTTTTGGGGGTCAAAATAAAAAAAAATAAAAAATCCGAGAAGGCAGTTTTGTAGCCCTGTCAATTCTACAGCTTTTATGTCCTAAACATTTTTCTGTATTTGCAAAGCTATAGGCCTGACAGCTCTTCCCGTAAAACCCTTTTTTGGGTCGAAAACGGCAGAACATGAGGTCACTCTGATGTCATTTCCGGCCAACCTATCATAGGCTTTGGAAAAATTTTTGGTCACCATATGTAAAATTGATGTCCGGGAGGGTACTGAAAGTTTGGTGACGATCGGCGCAGCGGTTCTGGAGATATATCGAAAAGTCTGGAAGGGTGGGGGGGGGGGGCAAAAAATAGCCCCCCCCCCACCAGGTCGCGGGATAAGGTACTAAAAGTTTGACGTCGCTGGCGTAACGCGTTTAGAAGTTATTGGCAAAAAAAAAGGGAGGGGGGACAGATTCTGCCCCCCCCAGCGGGGCGCGGGATAAGCCTCGCAAAAGCGTCCGCACGGCCGGCCGGCCGGCCGGCAGCTCATACTCACCTGTACCTGACAATTGTACAATTGTAGTTATAAATGGACAAGTATTTTATCGAGAGTACATGAACCTCCAGGCTCCACGAATCAAACTATTAACCCGCGCCCCGTTGGGCTCTGCCGAGCAACGCGCCCCGTTTTGGAGGGGGGGGGGGCATTTTGCCCCCCCCCCCCCAAGATCTCGAGAACCACGCAACCTAGCGACAAGCGGCAAACGGTGTTTGATAGTTCTATCAAGGAACTACCTTGTGACCCAATGTTATTGACCTAGGTCAAACCGATGACGTCACAGGTCAGGTCAAAGGTCCAATTTTCACCGTTTACAGGCATTTCAAGAAATGCGTTGTAAAATCGAGTAAAATGCATTTCATTGAAAATCATCGATGGGGAAATGTTCTTCAAACACATATTTTGCTATTTGAGGTCACTGATACCAGGTCAGGTCACAGAGGTCAGGTCACTGGGGGGGGGGGGGGGGTCACAATATGAAAGTGTCGTGTGATACATGTTTTATGGTCCATTTTGCATGACAAATGCGATTATGTGGGTCAGGAAGCCTTTGGGGCCAGGTTAGGTCACGTTTTGGTCAAGGTCAGGTCAAGGCCAGGTCAAAATCAGGTCAAATTAGGTCAAATTTCAAAGTTAATATTTTTGCATAAAATGGGTATCGATTCGATGCAGCTCGTCACGGGGAGTTCAATGGTGGTCTTGGTTTTGCCGTAGGTGGTCTCGAATAGCTGAAAATTGACCAAGTTTTTCCAAAAAAACTGACTTTTTTGGGAAAATAATTATAAGATCCAAAATTTTGAGTGTATCGAAAAACCGGAATATACGTCAGAGAAATGGTCTTTGTGCACCTACATACCAATTTTCAGAAGAATCGATTAAAAAATGTGGGAGTTATTAAACATTTTATGACGTCACGACACACAAAAAATTAAAAAAATGTTTTTTTTGGAAGTTCTAGAACTTGTACGGAAACAAAATAGCACCATTCGATTTGCCGTGAAAAACTGCATCAGATTGATACCTTTTTAGGCCTTAACAACCGACTTTAAAATTTGACCTCACTTGACCTGACCTTGACCTGACCTCGACCTGAAATTCATCAAGAGGTGGTCCATATCACTTATTAAGTGTGCCTATTGAATTCTATGAGTAAAATCACCCATAAAACATGTGTCGCACATGCCCTTTTCTATATTTTGTTTTTGGTGACCTGACCTGACCTGACCTGACCTTGACCTTGACCTCTGAATGATATTGTATGCAACGAATATTGTCTTGCTAGCCTAAGAACACGTTTTGGGCAATCAGTCTCAGTCCATGACTCCATTCTTCGGCAACTACGATGCAAGGCCGATACTGTAGGAACTTGCAATTTGTACCCTTGATCTGACCTTGACCTTGACCTCAAACTTTAAATTAAGTACATGTTTTTAGTTGTTCGTGATGAGATCTTTCGATTGGCGTTTGAATTTTCCAAATCGAACCATTAGTTTGGGAGATAACAGGAGGGGGGGGGGTAAAAAATTTACACCCCCCCCCCAGCCCCGCGCGTTCGGCTGGAGACCCCAGCCCCGCGCGGGTTAAAACAACTTTTCCGAATGAAAGTTGTTTAGTTTTCGTTTTTTCCTCAAAAACCGCAATTTTTCGTCGATTTCGGGCGCTGGGGGGGGGGGAGGCATTTGCCCCAAATGCCCTCCTGGATCCGCCAGTGGGCATACCCCCAAAAAAGTTTCTCCAAAATCAAAAACTCATTGGATTTTGGTTCCTTACTCACTGCTGCGTAGTTTACAACAAACTTTTCCTAACAAAAGTTGTTTAGTTTTCGTTTTATTCCTCAGAAACCGCAAATTTTCGTCGATTTCGTGCTCTGCGGGGGGGGGGGGGGCATTTGCCTCAAATGCTTCCCCCTTGGGTCCGCCAGTGTAGCAGGTAGCGAAAATTTGACGTCAATGGCACGATCCGCCGCTCATACTGCGGTACTGCCACTTATTGAAACTTGCAGGCTGGAGAACTAAACCCGTGCGGCTATTTCCACGTCTGACACACCGTGCCGTGTACAAGTCAGTTAGAAGTACCATTTTGCCCTTCCGCACGTGCAGGGCTCAACTCTCGCTCGGTCGGTCTTCGCCCAAAAGGCGTTTTACTGGTATATTTATGCAAAAAAAAGAAGAGTTGAACTGGTTCTAGTTTAGGCCTGGTCTGAGTCTGGACCTGGGTCTGGTCTGAGTCTGGTCTGGATCTTGTCTGGATGTTCAGCGACTGACCTGCTCAGGGCTTTCACCGTTGTATCAGCTATATTCACGAATGTTTTCTTGATCGCTCCCAGCTGCACTTTCTGCAGATGGGAGCAGCCATGGAGAGCAGCCAGTGATTCTTCATTGATGGCATCAGACAGCTTACGCCCGATGGTGACATCTTCCAGACGCTTGAATGCGGCTAGCAGTCGAGTAAGGCACTGGGATGTTATCTTCTCACACTCTGGAGAAAGATAACCACACTCTATGATCTGAATTATTTTCGATTCGGAAACGTCAATCGGAAACGATATTTTAGCGAGACTTATTAATTTTGGTGCCAAATCACGATAGGCGTTATCACAAGTGTATTCGCGGCCATTGGGGCGACGTAAGAAAAGAAGAAAACAACTGGCCCCAAGAACTTTAAATTATCAGTTAGCATGCACCTTTTCCTTGATACGTAGAGAATTTACCATTAATTGTTAGAGAAAATTGCATTTAAAATCTTCCATTTATGCTTTTTTCATCGTTTGCACAGTATGTTCTTTTACTAAGCTAGAAACACTAATTAGAAATAGTTCCCGCATCATCAAGAACAATAGGGAAGGCTTGAAGTGAATACAATAATCTAAACGGTTTTGTAATTCATGTGAAGACACTTCTAAAATTGCCTGTAGAAATATTAAAGGCAAAAGTTCAACTTTTTTCACAAGACGGATGGCTATAAACCTATTCAACGTGTGACAACTCAGCCGGTATTTCGTCGCCTACAGCCCAGCTTTCCCTAGTGACCGATAGAGGCGCTGCTATCGATGTCCGCCCGTGCCGCCTAACGAACCATCAAACTCCGTATCTGCGTCTTACAACGATCCTTACGTTAGTGTTTTACCAAAGTTCTCTACTTGAAGAAGAGCTGAAACTGAAATATAGTGTAATATTTCGTATATCTATTGCATAACAATGGGGAATATTTGTTTCGGATCGATAAATAGCTGTTTCTAGCACCTAATTGCTGTATAGCACCAAAAAGCTTACTGGAAACAAACAACTGAATCTGGCACTAAAATGCTGACAAAAAGCCTTATGTTGACAGATTGTCTGGTCGGAATGATTGCTGAATTGGCACCAGAATTTAAGGTCGTCCAGAATTGCAAGCTTCAGCACCATTTATCCAGCCTATTTGCGCCCCTTTTTCTCGGATTCGTATAAACATATCAGACATAAATTTAAATTACATTCATGGCACGCTTTTGACAATCAAAAATATAACATTTGCGGCTCAAGCAAGGAGCATACGCACGCGAGCATATGACCAGTAACGTCGGCGTATTTTTGGGACAAGTGGATATCCCGCACCCCAGTGGCGGTCTCAGTCAACTTCGCCCTAGTGGGGGGGGGGGGGGGCATATGTTACCACCCACCTCTAACTCAAAAACTAAGAGGGCTAGAAAGACGCGGTAAAAAGCAGTCGATAGCTCTCAATGCGTACGTTTGAAAGCATTTCGGTCATTTTTCATCTTGGAGCAATATTGGGGTCACTGGAGGTCATTAAAGGTCAAAATTTGCCAAATGTCATTATATTTTTCAGAAAAAATGCTTTTATCTCAGGAACTATGATAGCTAGAAAAACGCATGGAAAAGCAATCGATAGCTTTTAAACTCTTCTTTCGATAACGTCATCATCAAAATTGACCTCAGGTCAACGGTTTAGCCTCCAGAGAGCAGAAACTCCAAAAATAGATGTCTTTTCGCAAAGTGTTTTTCGACATTAACTTTTGACTAGAAAAAGCCACGACATTTCTATTGCCAGAATCGTGTTCCTCTCGACGAGACGCGTCGAATGAACTATAATTTGACCTTGAAAGGTCAACTTGAAAATTTGACCTCAGGTCAAGGTCATGACCTGACCGGGAAAGGTCATGTTGCATATCATTCGATGCGTCTCAACAAGACAAACACAGTGAAGCCATCCCCAGCGTTTTATCTCTTTCCAATCGCGAGTTATTGACAAAAGTCTGTTTGTAGCCTCAAATGACCTCGGATGACCTTTGTAGAGGCTATCAGCAAAAATGACACCTTGGTCATCACGGGTGGTCCAAATCATTGTGATTCTGAAATATTTGGACTGTTCCTATGCGTACACACGGATCTAGAGGCATTTTCATTTTTTTCCATTGACTTATAATGGTAAGGTCACGCCACTGACCTGACCTTATGTCACGGATATAAAAAATCCGAGATATACAAATTGTAGGCGCCCATAACATCATGCAATCCACAAAGTTTAAAACCTTTCTGACAAACACTGCAGGCTGGACATGATTGCAAACTTTTTTTTAGGCCTGGTCAGTTAACTTGACCTGGTGACCTGACCTGACATGACCTGGGGTCAAAAATTTCACACATTGTCCAAAATTGATGTACAAAAAGCTATGCAAAGCGGCGCGGCGCTACGCGCCGCGGTTTTTTTATTTATACGCCAAAAAACGCGACAGGGTGGTAACATATTTCCCCCCCCCCCCACTGGAGCAAAGGATATACACAAACATATTCGCCTGGAATTTTCTTTGCTACGCAGATCTACGCATCTTTGTCCATGCATTTTATTCGTGCGTTAGATCGATTAAGCGCAATATCCTATCTGTACAGCTCTGGTGCACATGCTGGCACACGGCGGCGCCTCCTGAACCGAACTGGCCGGCCGTGCCTGCCGCCGGCGCCGTACTCCGGCCATCCGAACACGCGGTATTGTAACAGCTGAAAGCTGTGACATTTTGTTTTATATCCCAAAATCATATTCTTCCATACATATAATGCGTAGCCTTCTCATAACATTTCGCCTACTGGGACGTCTAGGTCAGGTCAAGCGACCGGGTCACACGTCTGCCGTACAGCTGCTCCCGCCGACCGGCAGACGGCGCAGGATCAAAGGCAATGGCGGTGTGTGCAGTGGTGGCGTGACCTGGTCGAGGTCGGGCCGACGGCCAATCGGTGGTCGCCATGTGCCGGTGGCGTGACCCGTCGTGTGCGGTGCGATCGGGGAGGCGCGCCAGTCGTGGAGGTGCGGGCTTGCCGGCCGGCCCGGATCCACGTGTGAACTGTGAATGGTGACTGGCCGAATACAGATAAACGGACTCTGTTGGTGTTCTCCAGCAGAGACTACAGTGGTGGCAGCGGTGAGTTGAATCCAGTGTTGCCTTTGAACGTTCCATTGGCTGTGTAGCTAGTAGCTACTGACCCAAACCAAGGGTAAAGTAGCTGATTGTGGCTGACTGCTCGGTCGACGCTAACGATCGGTCCCGATACTGCTCACCCTGCTGGACTTCTGGCCCTGCTGCCGCTCACCCTGCTGGACTTCTGGCCCTGCTGCCGCTGCCCTGTCGGCTGCTGCTGCCGCTGCCCTGTCGGCTGCTGCTGCCGCTGCCTTGTCGGCTGCTGCTGCCGCTGCCCTGTCGGCTGCTGCTGCCGCTGCCCTGTCGGCTGCTGCTGCCGCTGCCCTGTCGGCTGCTGCTGCCGCTGCCCTGTCGGCTGCTGCTGCCGCTGCCCTGTCGGCTGCTGCTGCCGCTGCCCTGTCGGCTGCTGCTGCCGCTGCCCTGTCGGCTGCTGCTGCCGCTGCCCTGTCGGCTGCTGCTGCCGCTGCCCTGTCGGCTGCTGCTGCCGCTGCCCTGTCGGCTGCTGCTGCCGCTGCTCTGTCGGCTGCTGCTGCCGCTGCCCTGTCGGCTGCTGCTGCCGCTGCCCTGTCGGCTGCTGCTGCCGCTGCCCTGTCGGCTGCTGCTGCCGCTGCCCTGTCGGCTGCTGCTGCCGTTGCTCTGTCGGCTGCTGCTGCCGCTGCCCGGTTGGTTGCTGTCGCTGGTGCGCTGAACCTGCCCTCTCAACAAGACTTCACTCACTTCTAATGAGCTAAGTACTGTTCTGTGGTGTCGTGTATTGTTTGGCTTTGTGTGTGTGTGTGTGTGTGTGTGTGTGTGTGTGTGTGTGTGTGTGTGTGTGTGTGTGTGTGTGTGTGTGTGTGTGTGTGTGTGTGTGTGTGTGTGTGTGTGTGTGTGTTTTTGTAGTGCATTAGAGTCAGAACAATGCCTGACGACGTGAAACCGGCTACGTCAGAGGCCTGTTTCACTAAAAACTTGCGATTACAAGTGTTTGAACTTTACAATTCATAAGTATTTTTGCAAACTATGTAAAATCGGGTTTCACTAAACTTCATCACCAGCGGCACCTCCGATAAAAAGAGTTGGTAAATAAACTTGTAAACAATAAAATTGTTTTTAATCAAGAACTTTAACCCGCGCCCCGCTGGGGGGGGCAGAATCTGCCCCCCCTCCCGTTTTTCGCCAATAACTTCTAAACGCGTTACGCCAGCGACGTCAAACTTTCGGTACCTTATCATACATCAATTTGACGCGTTCCCTGAAAATTTGAGCGAAATCCGTCGGAAAATTTTTGAGAAATTGACGTTTTAGTGACGTCATGTTCGCCATTTTCGCCTCAAAAACGGCAAAATTTCAAACGCCGCTAACATCTTCATTTTTAAAGGAATCAAGACGTAACAAAAAAGGTTATGCGTGATTCCACTTTGTCTATCAAATGGCTATCTCGGTTTTTTGAAAATGTTGGATTTTGGCCCAAATTTTTTCAAAAAACTGACTTTTTTGGGAAAATAATTATAAAATCCAAAATTTTGAGTGTATCGAAAAAACCGGAATATATGTCAGAGAAGTGGTCTATGTGCACCTACATACCAATTTTGAGAAGAATCGGTTCAAAAATGTGGGAGTTATTCAAAATTTTATGACGTCAAGACACACAAAAATTTTGAAAAATGATTTTTTTGGAAGTTCTAGACCTCGTACGGAAACAAAAATAGCACCATTCGATTCGCCGTGAAAAACTGCATCAGATAGACACCTTTTTAGGCCTTAAAAACCAACTTCAAAATTTGACCTCACTTGACCTGACCTTGACCTGACCTCGACCTGAACTTCATCCAGAGTTGGTCCATATCACTTATTGAGTGTGCGTATTGAATTCTAGGAGTAAAATGACCCATAAAACATGTGTCGCACATGCCCTTTACTATATTTTGTTTTTGGTGACCTGACCTGACCTGACCTGACCTTGACCTTGACCTTTGAATGACATTGTATGCAGCGAATATTGTCTTGGTAGTATAAGAACACGTTTTGGGCAATCAGTCTCAGTCCATTCTTCGGCAACTACGGTGCGAGGCCGATACTGTAGAAA